GGACTCTGATAAAACCACTTCAGGCAGAGAATTCCACATCCTGATTGTTCTTACAGTAAAAAAACCTTTCCTTTGCCTTAGGCGAAATCTTCTTTCTTCCAGTCTAAATGCATGGCCTCGTGTCCTATGTAAAGTCCGGTTTGTGAATAGATTTCCACACAATGGTTTGTATTGGCCCCGAATATATTTGTATAATGTTATCATATCCCCTCTCAGGCGACGTTTTTCTAAACTAAATAGGTTTAAATTTGTTAACCTTTCTTCATAGCCAATATGTTCCATTCCTTTTATTAATTTTGTAGCCCGCCTCTGCACTTTTTCTAGTGCCATAATATCCTTCTTTAGAACAGGTGCCCAAAATTGCACAGCATATTCAATATGGGGTCTTACCAGTGATTTATAAAGAGGCAAAATTATATTCTTGTCCCGAGAATGAATGCCCTTTTTCATGCATGACAATACCTTACTGGCCTTGGCCACTGCTGATTGACATTGCACATTGTTGCATAGTTTGTTGTCTATAACAATTCCCAAGTCCTTTTCATGTGTTGTTATCCCTAATTCGCTTCCATTAAGGGTATACGTTGCTTGTGTATTCTTTACGCCGAAGTGCATAACTTTGCATTTTTCAACATTAAATTTCATCTGCCATTTGAGTGCCCAGTCCCCCTGTCTATCCAAATCCCTCTGCAGCAAAGTAATATCTTTTTTACATTGTATTGTTTTACAAAGTTTGGTGTCATCTGCAAACACTGAAACATGACTTTCAATGCGGTCTTCAAGATCATTTATAAACATGTTAAATAGAAGGGGTCCCAGAACAGACCCCTGAGGGACACCACTTGCCACCTCTGTCCAGCTTGAAAATTTACCATTAATGACAACTCTTTGTACTCTGTTTTTAAGCCAATGTTCTACCCAAGAACAAGCATTTTCATCTAGACCGATTTCCTTGAGTTTGAACACTAATCTATTGTGTGGAACTGTATCAAATGCCTTGGCAAAATCCAAATAGATCACATCCACGGCAACACCCTGATCTATACTTCTACTTACTTCTTCGTAGAACGCAATCAAGTTAGTTTGACATGACCTGTGCTTCATAAAACCGTGCTGATTTTTGCTGATAACCATGTTCTTCTCAAGGAATTCTTGAATATTATCCCTTAATAAACTTTCAAATATTTTACCAGCCACAGAAGTTAAGCTCACAGGTCTATAATTTCCAGGCAAGGATTTTGAACCCTTTTTGAATATAGGAACCACATCTGCCTTCCTCCAATCCTCCGGAACACTTCCTGAAAGAAAAGAATCTTGAAAGATTAAAAACAGAGGTTCACTTATTTCTGCACTTAGTTCCTTAAGTACACGTGGATGGATACCGTCAGGCCCTGGAGCTTTGTTTATATTAACTTTCTTTAGTTGCTGCAGCACCTTGTCTTGAGTTAACCAATTACAATTATTCTGCAAGTTTTTAGTAGCAATCATTTGCACATCTATTGCCATGGGTTCTTCCTTAATATATACGGAGGAGAAAAAGTTATTTAAAATTCCTGCCTTTTCCTGGTCTTCATTAATTAACACCCCCGTTTCAGTTTTTAGTGTACCTACACTTTCATTTTGTTTTTTTTTAGAATTTATGTACTTAAAAAATGCTTTGGGGTTGGTTTTGCTCTCTTCAGCTATCATTATTTCATTTTGAAGTTTAGCAAGTCTAATTGCCTTTTTGCACGCATTATTTGCATCCTTATATCTTTTATAAGATGCATCTGATTTGTCCGATTTAAATGCTTTAAATGCCCTTCTCTTAGTTGTAATCTCTTGTTTTACTTCTCTACTAAGCCATGTTGGTTTTAATTTGTTTCTTTTATATTTATTTCCCAATGGTACATACTGAGAAATGTACCTTTGTAATATTTGTTGGAAGATGATCCATTTATCCTCAGTGTTCTTTTCACTAAAGAGTTTATGCCAGTCAATATATTGTAAAGCTTCCCTTAACTTATTGAAATTGGCCTTTTTAAAATTATGTTTTAGTATTCCCCATGTGCTTTTGTTTTTTTGAGTTTATTTCAAAGGACACTATATTGTGATCACTATTTCCCAAGTGCTCACCTACTTGAATGTTGGTCAAAAGATCAACGTTGTTTGTTAAAACCAGGTCCAGACAAGCATCCATTCTAGTTGGTGCTTGTACAAGTTGTGACATGAAGGTGTCATTTAACAAGTTTAAAAACCTAATTCCCTTTGCTGAGGCACTAGTCCCTCTGTCCCAATTTATATCCGGGTAATTAAAATCTCCAATAATTAAAGTGTTACCCAGATTTGCAGCTTTCTCAATTTGCTCAAACAGCTGTTGTTCCTCGTCAATATTAACATTAGGTGGTTTATAACATATCCCAACCAATAGTTGGTTTCCCTTCTTTTCCCCCAAGCAGATATTTACCCATAAAGCTTCCACATTATCCTCCTCGCATTCCATTTGCTTAACATTTGGCTTTAAATCATGTTTGACATACAAACATACCCCACCACCCTTCTTGTTTTTCCTATCCTTCCTAAATAACATGTACCCATTTAAGTTAGCTGCCCAGTCATGTGTCTCATCCCACCATGTTTCAGTTATGCCTATTATATCATATTGTTTAGTGTATGCTAATGCCTCTAGTTCCCCCATTTTGTTATTTAGGCTCCTTGCATTAGTAAGCATACATTTAATATTATGAGTCACTTGTATATTTTGTGAATTTTCAACATTACACAGCTTCTCTGTTCTGAGCTTGCCCCTCCCCCCGTTTCCACCCCCCTTATACTGTGCTAAAGCCCATCTCCTTTCTGTCCTATCTCCATTTTGTAGATTGCTATGACCCTCCCCCCCTACTACTAGTTTAAAATCTCCTCCAACCTTCTAGCCATCCTATCCCCCAGCACTGCAGACCCTCTCCCGTTTAGGTGCAATCCATCACCACTATAAAGGTTGTACCCAATCGCAAAGTCGGCCCAGTGCTCTAAAAACCCAAAACCCTCCTTCCTGCACCAAGACTTAAGCCACGCATTGACCTCTCTAATCTCCCGCTGCCTTTCCACTGTAGCGCGTGGCACAGGTAATATCTCAGAGAATACCACCTTGGAGGTCCTTTTCTTAAGTTTGCTACCTAATTCCCTGAAATCATTCTTTAGGACCTTCCATCTTCCTCTTACTTTGTCATTGGTACCAACATGGACCATGACCGCTGGGTCATCCCCAGCCCCTCCCAATAATCCATCCACTCTGTCAGCAACATGCCGGACCCAAGCACCCGGGAGACAGCAAACTGTCCGGTTGAGCCGATCAGAGCGGCAGATTGCCCTATCTGCTCTCCTAATGATAGAGTCCCCTACCACCACAACCTGTCTTGCTTTCCTTACATTTTGATCATTAAGATAATTAAGTTTATGCATTATCTACCTTAAATATATCACAGTCAGAGGGGAGGGATTGTTTACTGTATGGGGGAGTGTCATTCATTGTTACATTGTTTTTATTGGTCTGTACATTTTGTAATTCGGTGCCCCATCAGGTCCAGGGGGTGTACCCTCTGGCCTGAGGAATTGTATATAAATCCATCCTGTACCAATAAACCTTCAGACCTCTTCACCCTCAATACGGAGTTCTGTCTCTTATTGTAGGGAAATGCTATATCACTACCAGGGATTGCTATACTCAGTATACTCCCTTGGATAAACACTAGCTCTTGTAAAAGCTGTTCCTGCTATGGTATCCTAGAGGTCTTTTCCACACGGTCCTCAATGTCAGCGGTTGGTCCAGGGTGGGAGTATGAACGTGAGATTCCAGTTAAGCTATGGCGGTTGTGGAGTCTGCAGTACTTGTGGTGTCTGGTGCTTATAGTCCTCAGCGTCAGCTAGGAAGCATCTGTTGGTGGAGGTGCCCAGTCGGGGGGACCAGGTGATCTGTTGCAATCTGCATCATTGACGACGTCAGCACAGAGTCCGACGTCATTGCATCTGGCATGGGGATGGCCGGATCCACAATGATGGAATTATTTGCAGATTAGTCCTGGAGCATTAGATTGAATGGTCAACCTAGAAGCACACATCTAGGATGACATTACACGGTAGCAGGCGGCAGCGCCACATGTGTTTTGGAAAATAATTTTTTTTTTTTAACATACTGTACACAGGGATTGGGGGACCAAAATCTAGCTAGGGACATGGATTGTATAGAATTATGAATAGAAATTTGAATTATACAAAAGTACTAATGCTATAGTGTCCTTTAACCCCTTAGGAAACATGATATGTGTGACATGTCATGATACCCTTTTATTCCTGAAGTTTGGTCCTTAAGGGGGTTAAACATATTAAACTGTTATTTAGAGAAATGAATACTAACATTAACTATTAGTATGCCAAAGACAATCATTTTGCTTCTAATCTCTTATGAAATTGCTGCAAATGATAAAATAAAGCAGAGTGCTAAAAATAAGGTTACTGAAAACTCATTTACCATTTTTTATTTTTTTATATAACATGATAATAATGACAATTGTCACAACTGATATACTTAAGAATCAATACTAAACTGTTAAACAAAATGGCACCTAATGTAAAAAGAATGGAAGTTATAGTGTCAGCAAGATAAACATTTTCCTATAGCATGAGATGCAGGATGGTAAATAACATTTGAATTACAGTTTTAATATGTTTCACATTCATAATACAATACGTTTAACTTCCAAGTTAATCCATCGATACCTCATAAAACCTTTCAGAATGAAAGATTTATTTTCTGTGTGACTTCTCTGATGTTGCAGCAGATCTGATTTACTGACAAAACATTTCCCACATTCACTGTAAGGTTTCTCCCCTGTGTGAATTCTCTGATGAACAACAAGGTATGAGTGCTGGCTAAAATATTTTCCACATTCAGAACATGTAAAAGGTTTCACTCCTATGTGAGTTTTCTGATAAAACATTCCCCACATTCACTACATAGTCCACTATCCTGCTCCAGGACAGAGAGAGGCTCCAGGCGGACCACAGTCAAGCCATGGTGACTGGGGCAGAAGCGCTAAGGTTTTTTTCCCCCTGTTCCAGCTAGGAATCGGTCCTTGGCGGAGGTACCCAGCCATGGTACAGGGAGCTCTGCTACAGTTTCTCTCCTGTGTGAGTTCTCTGATGACTAACAAGACTTGAGTGATAGCTAAAACATTTCCCACATTCAAAGCATGATAAAGGTTTCTCTCCGGTGTGAAGTCTCTGATGTACAACAAGATGTTGATGCAGGCTAAAACATTTCCCACATTCAGGGCATGAAAAAGGTTTCTCTCCTGTGTGAGTTCTCTGATGCCTAACAAGATCTGACTGACAGCTAAAACATTTCCCACATTCACTACATAAGAAAGGTTTCTCTCCTGTGTGAGTTCTCAGATGACTAACAAGACTTGAGTGACAGCTAAAACATTTCCCACATTCACTACATGAAAACGGTTTCTCTCCTGTGTGAGTTCTCTGATGGCTAACAAGACTTGAGTGACGGCTAAAACATTTCCCACATTCACAACATGAAAAAGTTTTCTCTCCTGTGTGAGTTCTCTGATGACTAATAAGATTTGAGTGACAGCTAAAACCTTTCCCACATTCACTACATGAAAAAGGTTTCTCGCCTGTGTGAATTCTCTGATGACTAACAAGACTTGAGTGACGGCTAAAACATTTCCCACATTCACAACATGAAAAAGGTTTCTCTCCTGTGTGAGTTCTCTGGTGTCCAACAAGACTTGATTTAATGCTAAAACATTTTCCACATTCTGAACATGAGAAAGGTTTCTCTTCTGTGTGAAGCCTTTGATGTTTAGCAAATGCTGAGTGACTGCTAAAACATTTCCCACATTCATGACATGAAAAAGGCTTCACTCCTGTGTGAGTTCTCTGATGACTAACAAGACTTAAGTAACGGCTAAAACATTTCCCACATTCAAAGCATGAGAAAGGTTTCTCTCCTGTGTGAAGTCTTAGATGTCTAGCAAGGCTTGAGTTTTGTCTAAAACATTTCCCACATTCAGGGCATGAAAAAGGTTTCTCTCCTGTGTGAGTTCTCTGATGAGTGACCAAATTTGAGTGCAAGCTAAAACATTTCCCACATTTAGAACACATGAAAGGTTTCTCTCCTGTGTGAGTTCTCTGATGACTAATAACACTTGAGTAACGACTAAAACATTTCCCACATTCAAAGCATGAGAAAGGTTTTTCTCCTGTGTGAAGTCTTAGATGTCTTGCAAGGCTTGAGTTTTGACTAAAAAATTTCCCACACTCAGGGCATGAAAAAGGTTTCTCTCCGGTGTGAGTTCTCTGATGAGTAACCAGATTTGAATGCAAGCTAAAACATTTAGAACATGTGTAAGGTTTAATTCCTGTGGGAGTCCTCAGGTGGATAACACATTTTGAATAACAGTGGAAATATTTCCCACATTCAGAACATGGGAATATTTTTTGTTTTCCATTTATTATTGAAGTTGTAGACATACAGGATTCCAAGAGGTTCATTGATTGTTGAGAGTTAGAATCCTTGTTGCTTTTATTAAAAGATTTCTTCAGAATCTTGCTTAGTGTATTTCTGTTCCTTTCAGGTCCTTCAGGATAATTTCTGCTGACGGCAATATCTGAAAGAAATATACTGTGATTTAAAGAAAACCTGTTACTATAAATCATTACTGGTTTACCATACTTGGAAAAACTGCCACTCTTCTTGAAAGATCTCAAATACAACTATGAAGCTTAATACTGATTGAGAAGGACCTTTATTGAGCGTTAACTCCTTCACTATCAAAACTTAATTTCATTTGGTTTTGCAAAATTTTATTTTGTCTATATTGCCTCACTTAACTACATTTACATTTTTAATTTCTTAATTTTTGAAGTGCTGGAGTCGTATGAGTTCCTCTACGTGATGATAGGCTTATCCAGAACCGTTATCAGGTTTTGGAAATCATGAACAGAATTTTTGGAGAAGAGTTATAGAGAGAAACAAAGACAAGCAGGATATGAACTCTATGATGCACCACAAAAGAAGACATTCAATAAAAGAGGAAGGAGAGGAGTAAAACATGTCCAAAAAGAAAGAAGGGAAAGGTAATAGATGAACTAACACAGATAAAAGGTATCTATAATTTAATTGAAATGGAATTTACAAAATAACATAAAAAGGTTCTAAAGAAAGGGTTAAAACTGATTGCCAGCCTCCTGCCATGTGACTATGGCCCCTGGGATGTATTGCCCTTTAAAAACATGATTTGGGCATAATGGATTTGTGTTGTGCTGCTGCTGGCCCTTTAAGAACCATCTGGGGACATACTGTGGAGTTACTGGGTGGCCACCATTTCATGTATCAGAGGCACATGGTGAGAACAATGGATGAAGCACATGGTGAGAACAATGGATGGCGGCCATTTTAACTCACAGACACTGTTTGGACTTTTCTACACGGTGCCATCTCGCCGGTATTTGGTGCACAGAGACATCGTGCAGTGGTTTTGGACTATACAACAGGGGACACATTATACAGTAATTGTTTTTCATATAGCCTGTATATGTTCTGCGGAATCTGCATTAAACTGTATCTTCCAAAGTACTGAACGGATCTTGGTGAATTTTGGATATGTGGTTCACCCAGATCCCCCGGTTCCGAGGATATATATAGGATTTTTATGGGGTTATTGCATGTTTTGGGGTCCCTGTGATGTGTTTTATGATACTGTATTTCTCTGCCTGTGATAATTATATTAACCATTGTGTTCAGTAATCATATCACAGGCAGAGGGGAGGATTTTGTGTGGGAGTGTCTGTGTGTATTGTACGGATTGATTGGTTGTATTTCAAAACCCTGTGGGCGGTACTATGTTTGTGGATTGTGAATAAAAGAGGGTGTATGTGCCAGTACAGTCAGTTCTGCTTGACCTCAAAATGACGTGTTGTCTCGTTATTGGGGGAATTGGATTGTATGCTGATTGCCAGGAGTGTAAGCTGATTGTATGCTTTTCCTGTTCAGCTGCTTACAGCATTCATATGTGTGGCGAAACCAGCCTCGCCACTGTCCACTGGAGGAGCCTGGTTGCTCGCCTGCTCCCTTTAGACTATGGCCCGGCAGTTAAAACCTTTTATTTTCCCTGCATAGCGTATTCATGCCTTTCTGTAGACTTTTAAAGCCATGCTACCCCAGATAGCTATGCCATGGAGCCCAGCCGTATACTGAAAGACTGTATGAAAGACTTTGGCTCCATGGCGATTGAACTGTATTTATGTGATCTGAGCGCCATTCGGTAGTAATGTGCACTCAGATCTAAGCTATCTGGGGATATGTAGAATGTCTGTGTTTTATGGAATAAATGTAACTGTATGTAATTTTATGTCTTTTATTGTATTGTTACTGCCATGTGGTTAATGGAGTCTTGCCTCTGTCCTGGGAGATAATTGGATTACTTCACACTTATCTCCTGGACAGAGAGGAGGGATTGTGATGTAAATGTGGGTGTGTTTTATGGTTCCCCTGTAACGATTGGTTGTACTGTGTCCCACCCTGTGGGATGTCCCCTTGCATGGGGACTTGCATAAAAGCCAGTGTGTGGCCATTACAGAGTTCCTGCTTAACCCTCAAAGTGAAGTGTCGTCTCATTATTGGGGGAAGGATTTATTGTATGCTGTTCCAGTTTGACTGCTAGGAGAGTAAACCTAGTCGTATGGTTCCTATTCAACTGTCTACAGCATTCATATGCTTGAGAGGATTCATATACTTCTCCGGTCCGGTGGTTGTGGTGTCTGCTGCAGTGCTTGGAGTCCTCAGGAAGCGCTAGGAGCATCCTTTAACGGAGGTACCCAGTCGGGGTGCCAGGTGATCCGTTACAATATGCTTGAGAGCATTCGTATGCTTCTCCGGTTTGGTGGTTGTGGTGTCTGCTGCAGTGCTTGGAGTCCTCAGGAAGCGCTAGGAGCATCCTTCAACGGAGGTACCCAGTCGGGGTGCCAGGTGATCCGTTACTGAGGGTTTTTATATTTTTATATAAGGACAGGCATTTAGGCGATATAAGTAGCCCATTCTATTCAATAACTAATCTTACTCATGAGCTACCTTGTTCCTCCGACAGTGTGACCATGTCTGGAAAAAGAAAAAAGGCCTCATTCCCGAGAAAAACCAGGGGAAGGTGTAGATTATATTTTAAGGAATTTTACAGAAATTTTAAATGACCAAATATAATTTATTTTAGAGGGAATCCAACTGATCCTTGATAATAACCATTTTTGGTTCAAAGAAGAATTTTTCCAATTTATTTATGGCCTTTTAGGAGAACCATTACGTGTATGGTGGACATGGCTGGGGGGAGAACTTTGTCACCTATGGCCATTACATAGCTGACATCTTTTTTTAGCTGGAGAGGAGGTTTGGTAGTTTTAGAGGAATTGTTTAACATTTTTAAATAGTAATACATGGGGCATTAACCTTACCAGTACTTGGAGTGAACAAGAAGTATCTTTTTTGGATTTAAGCATTTTTATTGAAGATGGTAAAATTAAAACTAAAAACTCTTTTTAAAGCTGTAGATGCAAATTATTTTATAGGGAGGGACACTTGCCATTATACCCCTTGGTTAGAAAATGCCCCAAAGGGACAATTTGTAAGAATCAGGGACAATTTTTAAGAAACTGTACTGATATGGATAGCTATGAAAACCAATCGACATGAATAAAATACGATTTCACAGAAAAAGGAAACGAAGAAGCTAAATTAGAAGAGTCAAGAATGGAAATAACTAAAGTGGACCACAAAGATCTTCTAAAATCTAAAAAAAAAAAAAAAAAAATCAGTATGGAAGGAGTGCTCTTTGTATGTAATTATAGTACAGAAAATTATAACAGAGGGGTTGTAAAAAAATTCTGACTCATTTTATTACAAGATCTGATTTTAAAGATGTTTTTACCGGAACAAACTGTTTTTATACACAGAGCGGTAAATCATTTATGGAGCATTCTTACTATTAGTTTTATCAAAGAAAATAAAGTATTGAATACCTTTCTAAATAAAGAAAACTGCTTTTTTTGGGTGTGGCCAATGTCTGGCCTGTAAGAGAACAGGCAGTAGGAAAAGACGACAATTATTTCCAGACGAAAGAAGAAGGGAATTACCCAATTAGAAAGACATGATAGCCTTAACGGACCTACCTGCGATGTATACTTGAGCTCAATAAAATGTGAGTGGTTCCATACATATTCTACACTGATTTGTGGTTACCATAACATTTTAAACTATTGAACTTTTTAATTTCTTTTTTAGGTATTATGTTACAGATACCATCACCACTTTTGTATATTGTATTAAGGTATATAACCTAGAACATACTTGAAAACGAGAGAAATTTCAATGTATCTTTCCTGGTACATTTGTTTTGTGTATTGAAAATGTCTGCACTTGGTGTTATAGCAACGTCTCTTGTTACAATTTTTTCAAAGCACTTCTACTATAACAGTATATCTATATCAGCGCCAGTATACTACACTTCTATTCCAGTAAAGAAACTAACTTAAGGAGTCAGGGTAAGGTATCGAATAAGTAGGTGTAATTTCATGTATCTGAGAATGATTAGTCAGAAATGCGGTATGACACAGAAGGTGGATTGGCACAGAACTACAGTTGTTACGAGATATTGTAGGATTTGTGGTATGTTATGTAAAAGTAGATATCCTGGTCTGCTTACCAGGACATGTAGCGAAGTAACATTCACCCATAAGTAGGAGGTTGTGCAGTAAATCATAGATACCTAGCACCTAAAGATACAATGATGTAACGTACATGAGTGAGATGTAAGGCCAGCTTGTTGATCCGACCGAATAATCTATAAAATACCTACCTAACAAATATAGTTTAAGGTGTAAGAGGAATTATGTTGCCCGCAAATCTTGAGTATTCCGTAACCTGTAATAACATATTAGTAATGCCCTTGATACGAATATCCTCCAACCCATGACCAATATGGAAGATGAAACGGATACAAGTAAAGGCAGCAGTCCTAAGTAATGAAACTAATGACATAATGATATATGTGAGGAGTATGTGTGTGGCCCTGCCCGGGACCTCCTCGAGGGTAGAAAAACAGACTTAAAAGAAAACAGTAGTGTTGTTAAGGTACACAAAACGTGGTAATATAGTATATATACACTTGAGTAGAATTGAGGCAAGCAATGAAGGAAGTCACCATATCTGGTAAATAAGGATAATAATCCTAAACTTAGTAAACTAATTATACACCAAGGCAATAATTAAAGAGACACTATAGTCACCAAAACAACTTTAGCTTAATGAAACAGTTTTAGTGTATAGATCATGCCCCTGCAGTCTCACTGCTCAGTTCTCTGCCATTTAAGAATTAAATATCCTTGTTTTTGAACCATAGTCACACCTCCTGCATGTGACTTGCACAGCCTTCATAAAAACACTTCCGGAAAAGAGTCATCTAATGTTTATCCTTCCTTTATTGCAAGTTATGTTTAATTTAGATTTATGTTATCCCCTGCTATGTTAATAGCTTGCTGGGCCCTGCAGGAGCCTATTGTATGTGATTCAATTTACAGAGCAAGAGATTCAAACAGATGTAATATACATTGAACAATTGTAAGTGAAACCAGTTTTTGTTCATGCAGGCTGCGTCAATCAGAGCCAGGGGAGGTAGTGTGGCAATGGCTGTATAAACAGAAACAAAGTGATTTAACTCCTAAATGGCAGTGAATGGAGCAGTGAAACCTGAGAGGCATGATCTGTACATTAAAACTGCTTCATGAAGCAAAATTTGTTTAGGTGACGATAGTGTCCAATAAGCTGCACAGACAGCCCTCCCCCGGCAAATGAGGCCCCCGGGGGCCATGTGATCGCTCTCAAATAGCGATCACATGGCCCCCTATAGCTGGCTGTGGATCTGCCAGCAGGGGGAAGGTCTGAAATGTCAGACCGTCCCCCTGCTGGTGGGAAGTATAAGAAAAAAAATGATTAAACATGTTTTAAAATAAATTAAATGTATTTATATATAAATATAAAATTTATATATATATTATAAATATATTTACACATCTTATATATGTAACGTGATACGTAATGTATTTTAATATTAATATAAGTACATATAGTATAACAAAATACACTTACAATGACATTCTATATCTATCTATATATAAAATACAAATAACCGCAAATATATATATATATATTTACACACACACACACACACACAGCTAAATATATATACTTACATAAATAACGAAGTGTACACGTATTCTTTAATTACATATATATGTATATATATTAAAATTCTACGTGTATATTTAAGTAATATTTTAACATAAGTATGTTATTTAATTAGTAAAAATTTGATTGACATCGCAGGCAAAAAGTGCAGAGAATTTGAATTGCAGGCACTATATTTAACCCTGTAATCCAAGACACCATAAAACCTGTACATGGGGGTACTGTTTTACTCGGGAGACTTCGCTGAGCACAAATATTAGTGTTTCAAAATGGTAACTTGTATTACAACAATGATATTTTTAGTAAAAGTGACGTTTTTTTTGCCTTTTTCACACATGAACGGCACTTTTACTGACGATATTGTTGTAACCATTTTGAAACACTAATATTTGTGTTCAGCAAAGTGTCCTGAGTAAAACAGAACCCCCCCATGCACAGGTTTTATGGTGTTTTGGAAAGTTAGAGAGTCACATTTCATTTTTTTCACATAAAAATTTGCCAGATTGGTTATGCTGCCTTTTGAAACCGTATGGTAGCCCAGGAATAAGAATTACCCCCATGATGACATACCATTTGCAAAAGTAGACAACCCAAGGTATTGCAAGTGGGGTATGTCCAGTCATTTTTAGTAGCCACTTAGTTACAAACACTGGCCAAATATTAGTTTTTTGCTTTTTTCACACAAAAACAAATATGAACGCAAATTTTGGCCAGTGTTTGTTACTAAGTGGCTACTACAAAAGACTGGACATACCCCACTTGCAATACCTCGGGTAGTCTACTTTTGCTGCAAATGGTATGCCATCATGGGGGTAAACCTCATTCCTGGGCTATCACACGGTCTCAAAAGTAACATTACTAATCTGGCAAATTTCAATGTGAAAAAACAGAAAAATGGAGTGTGCTATATTTGACCTATTATATTTTAACTTTCCAAAACACTGTAAAAACTGTTAATGGGGGTTACTGTTCTACTCGTGAGACTTTGCTAAATCCAAATATGTGCTTTTTTTGCAGTAAAAGCTAACCGTATTATGACATTTACAGCTAAAATGTGAGGCGGAACTACAAATTTAATTTTTTTTTTTAAATTTCTCCGTTTTTTTATTTTATTCATAATAAATTGTTACATATATACATATTTAATATGAAATGAAAGCCCTGTTTCTCTGAACAAACTGATATATAATAAGTGTGGGTGCATTTAATATGAAAGAGGTGAATTACGGTTGAACAGACAAATAGCACAAATTCCAGTTTTTGTTTACATTTTGTTTTGATCAGAATGTGTACTATTGACTCCGTCCTGAAGGGGTTAACATAATACACCTTTAATTAAGACTTTCATAGTATTCTGCACTTGTCACTTTAATATTTACTTAAGGTTTACTTACCTTGGCTCTCTGGGATTTCCTCTCCTTCAGAGGATTCATATACTTACCTGGGAATCACCCCCTTTAGTGCATTCTCTCTCCACGTCCCCTGTGTGTTTACCTGGGTCCGTGGTATCTGCCCCATGCCTTCTCCTCTCACACACAGTGTTTTAAACCTGGTATTCAGACTTAACAGGCAGGCGGCATGATAAGAACGCTTGTGCATGCGCAATTGCGCAAGTTTGAGGCCGAAATGATGACGCGTCCTAAGAGAATAGCACGTTACGGCGGTCATTTTAAGTATGGGCAAAAATGGAAAATGGCCCTAAATGAATGCAAACATGAAGTGAAGGTATTTAAAGCCCTGGAGGGCTTGGAGTAAGTGCCTTGGTGCCTATTCTTGCCTCAGTGTGTTCCTGGAAGTAGTTTGTTGTATTTGGAAGTTTTTCTTAAGATCTTTGCCACAGGTAAGTTTATTTTGTGATTTAAAATTATTTTTTAGCTTCCTAACACTCCTTAGGGGGTCCTAGAATTTATCTATTCATTTATTTATTTAGCCCATTATGGCTTCACTATCTAGGCTACACTTATCCACTGCTCCTTTTAGGTATTATGAAGTTATTTTTTATTATTGTTTAAGCTTCCTCTCATGTTTATATGATATCTGAGTCTATTCTTCAATTCATTTCTAGTAATGAGGAACGGATATCATCATCTCCTCCCAGGAAAAGAAGGGAGAAAGCTACCCCCTGTTCTGGCTATGAAGGAAAGGTGGTAGAGGGGAAACAACTTTGTATGGATTGTATCCAGAAGATTGCCACTTCTTCCTCCACTATATTGGCCCAATCTCCAGACATACTGGCTTGGATTAGAAAGGTTGCTCAAGGCATCTCTGCTGCTATGGAGGTAAGACAATGGGTTGAGAAGAGACCCAGACAAAGGCTGGACTCCTCTAACTAATCCGATTCAGATGTATTGGAACCCCCTGGGGAATTTGAGATCTTGGACCAGGTAGATTCCTGTGAGTGTGAAAGTGGAATGCTTTCTGAATCCCTGGACT